GAATTTGGTATTTATAAGTTATTGCCTCCTGCTCGGGTAGGGAAGCAAATCCACGCCACCCGACGATAGGGGCAATAAACCAAGTTTGTGCCGGAATTTTTAAAAAAGCCTATCCGATATTTTTCAATAAATCATTGCACGAAAACGGCTCATCTAATCGAAATGATATCTGGAACAAAGTTGTAGGTAACTGGATTGCTTTTTCAGAAAAAAAAATGCAAATAATCACAAATTTTCTTAAAAAAAAACCGTTTAATATCAAAAAAGTACATTTTTAGGATTTTTAAACTTATGTTTATTAAAAATGATTCCTTTTCAAAAATTGATACAATGAGCTTTTCAAAAAGGAGCAAAATCATAGAACATCAACTATTAGAACAAATTTTGAACTTTTCCCCTATATATTTTTTTTTTATTAAAATTTATGCAGAAAACATATTATTTAATCCAGGAAACCGGTTCCTATGCACAAACTTCATAACGGTTGTTCAATAAAAAATGAGAATGATTTCAATACCGTCCAGCGCTCTTGTGAGAGCATCGTGACTTATTTCCGTCGTACGGCTGATCAGGTCCTCTTCTCCAATATTTATTGACGTTTTTTTTGAAGAATATTTAATAAAAAATACTGAATTCGTTGAATTTTTTTTACTAGCTATATGACTGAAAAAATTCTCATTTTTTATTGAACACCCGTTAAATATTGCGTGAAGAAAAAAATCCTAAATTTTACTAATACCTAGTAGGGTTACGGTATGTAATGTGGGTCTAGTCCTTTCATTCGGCCTATCACGCAAATAAATAATTAATTAAGGAATATTACACAAAAAATAAGGAAAATATTGATCACTGATGATTGATAAATGTGTACCACACACAAATCAATTTATATCACAACATTTCAATACATTTTCAGCTCTCGTAAGTAATAAAACTGGTTGAGAATATCACTCTGTTCGGAGTTTTTAGCCGCCATGACTTCTAAGGTTAAGATGGGAAGGTTGCACTGACGATCATCAAATGGCCTGATTATGGCATTTATTGAATGGAATTACCTGATAATACACACTAGACGTAAAACTCACAGTTACTGTTTGAATATTTTATGTTTATTTTAATTGTTTAACAACGTTTTCACAAGTAAATCATGGACCCAACTTTAGGGACACATTTCTTTTCTATGTTCCTAACTTTGGCCCATGAAATTCATTTGACAGCATATAGCAATAAGAGTAACGTCAACAATGTGGTTTGCATTTGGATGATAAGGAACGAACAGGAAGGGAGATTTTTTCTGCCAAATCTGTATAATGAACATCACAATGTTTTGATTTAGATATTCTGCGGTCGAAAGACGATAAGCGAAATTTTTAATTTTTAATTTTTAACTTGAGTGATTTAATGTAGTTTTCGTAAAATTTTCTCTAAGAAATGTTTTGAGGAATGAAGAGTATTAAGTTAACAGTGATAGTGATAAAAAAAAATACATAAGAAAACGTTACCAAGAGCGTTTTTTTTGAGAATCAAACAGGATAGGACGAAGTTGCATCCATAAATAGACCCAATTTGGGGACAATAGACCGATATTACATACATTTCCCTGGTGAGTTTTTGTCTTAAAAAAAGTAAGTTTTTCAACTTTTTGCGGTTCCTGATAGCAAACGACATGATAAGCATATCTAAGCATACCATTTAGCAGTAGAATATCGTTTGCAGGTAAATTAATTGATGAGTTATGATTAAAAACGTAATCTATGGCTGCATATTAGACCGAGGTTAGGGACGTATACCCTATATGTTTTACGTTTTTGATAAATTTTGAAATTCCCATTTCAGAAAAGTTTGCACTTTTGTTAAGCTTTTTATATGTAAGCTTATCAAAAATGCGAACTTTTCTGAAATGGGAACTTCAAAATTTATCAAAAACGTAAAACAAATACTAGGTATTAGTAAAATTTAGGATTTTTTTCTAAGTTTAAAAATGCTATGTCGTATGCCCAATTTACAAAAAGGTATTATCCCAAATTTTATGGCGACACCTGCCACCAATTGCACATCATTTGTTCATCGATTTCAAATCCGCTTACTATACAATAGTCAATAAGCCGGCGCCGGTGTAGTGGTAAGCGTGACTGCTTTCTCACCCCAGTGGGTTTGGGTTCAATCCCAGCCGAGGTCGGTAGAATTTTTCTGAGGCATAAAAATCTCCGGTCAGGTCTACTTTCGGAAGGGAAGTAAAGCCGTTGGTGACCGCCGAAAATGATACCAGCAGAGAAATTCAAAGACGCATTGTGGCAGGGAATTGTGCCTACTTTGGACTCTGGAGGACGCTCAGGTCGAATAAAATTCGCCGTCGCACGCAGTTTACTATCTATAATACTCTGATTAGATCTGTGGTCCTCTACGGCCACGAGACATGGACTATGCTCGTGGAGGACCAACCCCTTGGTGTTTACGAACGGTTGCGTACCATCTACGGTGGAGTGCAGATGGATGACGGAACGTGGAGGAGCCGAATGAACCACGAATTGCACCAGCTGCTGGGAGAACCATCCATCACCCACATTGCAAAAATTGAGCGTGAAAATGGTTCTCGAAAGCGACCCAACAGGAACAAGAAGAAGCGGCGCGCAGCGGGCAAGGTGGATCGACCAAGTAGAAGGTGACCTGCGGACCCTTCGCAGACTACGAGGCTGGCGACGTGTGGCCATGGATCGAGTATAGTTTTTTTTTTCTGAAAAGGCAACCCAGTTTCCTAAAACTTTGTATCATACGTCATGTCGATTAAATGAGTCATTTTCGTACTGTGACTTATTTAAAAAAAAAATAGGCATAGGCCAAATAAAAAGATAGCCTAGTCAGTAATGGTACAGTGTTACCAAGGTGGAGGTGGCGTGTTCAATTCCTGATCCGCTCAAGAACTTCTTTGGGTTTGGAAATGATCTTGACTTCCATGGACATAAAGTAGGGGACGGCGTGGTAAGAACGCCCGGCGGGGTAAGAGGGACCACAGGCCGTTCTATATGAAATCCTCAAGATTTTTACTAATACTCAATACAGAAGAGATTAACAACATGTGAAGCTAATAGGATTGCCCTGAAGATCTCTAATCTATCTTAAAGTTCACTTATTTACTGATGCTGATAAGAAATTTTCCAAAAGATCTTTATTCCTCCCTGAAGTGTACAGGACTTCTGTGAACTTCTTGGCATTTATGTGAAGTTTCCGAAATTGTTCTTCAGTTCTCTAAGCTTCCCTGAAGTTTTATGAACTGTACTTTAATTTTCGGATCTTTTTGGACTTTCCCAATGTTCTGCTGAAATTAATGAAATTGTCGTAAAATTCTCGCTATTTTCTTGATATTTATGGAACTGTCTTGACATTTTCAGAACTGTCCCGAAGCTCACGTATTTTTCTTAAAGATCTTTAAACTTAAAACTGAAATTTTGGCAACAACTATAAAGTTCTTACATAGCGGGCAGAACTTGTTATTATTTTTCAGTGAATGTAATTTACATTCACTGAAAAATAGTTCTGTTCACTCTCTTTCATCATAGGTTGATATATAGATTAGAGTTATTTACAAAAGTTGTAGTTAATATCAAAACCTACAAAAGCTTCATACATAATTTTACGGAATTCTGTAGATGACAAAAGTTAGAGGCAAATGAATGTAAATGAATACACAAAATTAATGTAAATGATTTGCCATGCCTGATCATAACCTTACATATTTTTGAATTTCTCATGCAATCTGAACTTCTCTTTTCAAATGTTTGTTTTTATTATTCTTTTTTCAAATATTTGTTTTTCGACTCCACTCTTTTCAAATGTTTGTTTTTATCACTAGGGGCGGAGCAGTATTGCTTTATCTTTAAGAGCGTTCATTTTAAACATGCACTCAAAAATGTTTTAATGAATTTGAAGTTGTAGGTATCTGTCGTCATAGGAACGCATCACAAATAACATTTATGGTTTTATGAGGGTTCTGTAGACAATGATTTAGACTTGTGGAATGCTTTAAAACCTCGATAAAACTAGCAATGTTGCCAGGGATGAGGGACTGATGGATGCATCTCATTTTTCTATAAAGCATTTAAAAGCGGATTTTTTTAAGACATCAATTTAACATTTAAGGCGCAGATTTAATCTAGATGAAGACAGATATTTTCTAATGTAGTATGCATTCAGCGTAATTTTGCTCATATGAACTGTGAAAGTGCTTCACTAACTTGGGAGCAGGCGAAAGCTCGCATAAGAGTGTCAAAGCCAGGAAGAAGAAGATGCATTTGAAGGCAAAATTTCCAGCTCAAAAATTGTTTCTAGTTTCTTGATGGATAGTTCACGTGTAAGATTCTGTTATACAACAATAAATCATCAACAGAAATGAACAACCACTAATCAAGTTTATCCGTGTGGGGATCGTGACGTGTTTGTATGTCATTATCTTTTTCACACGTCTCCACATCCGACGTTGCCGAGTGGAAACTTGTCCAGCATTGGTTGATCGATTGGTGTCACATTACAATGTAAAATGCGTTCCAGCCGGCGTATAATCTGTATCAAATAGCCTCTCATCCCTTCCCGTCTGCACTCACCCCGATGACCAGTCAAGCTGTCAGTTGATATTGAAATAAATTGCTTAATTAGTATTTTAATGTCGTCTAGGCAATACCGCGCGCACCCATGGGTACTGACGCGAAGGATTGCACGTGCCAGTGTTGTCAGATGAAAGTATTGACATAAACGTATCCGCTTCGTTGAAAATAATGGGTATTTGATCGCACTGTTTAAACAGCTGTGGAATGTACTGCCGTAATACGCATAAGAGTCCCACGGTCCATAAGGATTGCATAGACCATGGGACAGTTATGCGTATAATGGCAGTGTAGGCGTTCAAACCTTCACCCAAGCCGATCGATTGGTTCAACGGATGCCTTGGGGCAGGTTTATTACGTTACCAGGGCTAATCTATAAATGGTTGATGGTCATATACTCACTTCCACAGAATACGCCAAAAACATCCGAAATTGCTGCCATTGGGCACCTCGGCTGAATATGAAATGGTCATTTTGACGCTACCGCTGCTCCAGCGATGATTATTTCATCGGCTAAATAGACAAGCAATTGCACTTCACACTTCGAACCTTACACATCTATTAACATTTGGGCACTCCCGACTACCATTCCAATAATGGTGATGGCACTCTTCTCTACCGACACGCGTGCTTATTTCTCTTTCACTTCGAAGGCCCCCACTCTTCCTTTCTTCATTCAAACCTGTGTGGCAACTATAAAGACACAATCGAATTCGCTGTTTCAACTTCCAATGGCTTTGAATATTTATTTTTAGCAAACTTGAAAATTTCACTTCAACACTACGCGACAACGACGACGATGGCGACGATCATCGGTTTTGCATGACACGACACTGCTGTTTGGTGATGTTGAATTGCTTCATTGTGATGGCACGTTTCTTTTTCACATCTCGGCGATGCTGCTGCCGCTGCTTCTCGGATGATTAGTGATTTAATATTTCTTCACCTTTTTGGCTAAACTTGTTTTTTGGTTCAGTTTAACCGGCGAATTTTGCACTTTGATGCAGTGGAATGATTTTTTCGCCGCTTACAATTCCATGTAGAAACACTTGCAAATTTTGTATGGAAAATTTTGGATGATTAGGCTTCTCCTAGACTACCAAGAGGTGGCTTGAGAGGTGATGACACATGAGGAAGAATGGTAGCTGAATCTGCAAAGAGGGAAACATTGTGTACGTTAGTGATCGATTTTAAATTGAATGACAAAGGAATTTCAAGATGATTCGCAATAGTAAATCTGTAAACTGATCTTCTTCAGTACTTAGTTAGGTAGGTTATCAAATTTTTCAACTCAATCAATATATGCCCAAAGGAGAATACCACATACAAACAGACATATCTCTCACATGTTGTTAATCCAACACGCATTTAATGGTATATTTATTTATTTCTTAGTTGGTATCAGCCTGTGGCGCGCAAAGTCAAATCTCTTGCATGCCACAGCTGATGAGTTCGACTCAAAATTGAATGGTTTTTCACTGAAATTCTCATAAACGTAGATTACGCATAAACTGAGTACAACTTCCCTAGCTTTTCTTCAAAAATCTGCTCGAGTATAAGGAAAATCGACGAAAACTATACTAATACTTAGGGCCTGTTCATAAACTACGTAGACAATTTTTTGGGATTCTTGACCCCCCCCCTCCCCCTGCGTAGACAATTGTCCATACAAAATTATTAAAATTTGTATGGGCCGTGGATAATTGCCAACCCCCACCCCCCTAAACTGTCTACGTAGTTTATGGACAGCCCCTTATAGACTGAGTGAACACTCTCGACTCTCCTCATATTCAAAAAGTTTTTCCTGAAAATCGAGAAAACTTTACTACTACTATTACCGCCATCTGTTGAGGGTATTGCCCGTGACTTACTACTACTTATTAAATGTCATCTGTTTTCAACAGTTGAAAAATTAAACATCTTATTATAAGAAATACGTCAGGCCCAGACACTTGTCAAATTGCTAATAAAAACAGCACGTAAAACTCACAAAAGACTCTTAAATTCTAATTAGCATGATCATCATGCTTGGAATATGATTTACCTCACTATCATATCTGCTAATTATTCATTAAAATCTCAACCAGAAACGTGACACCATCCCGCCCGACGGCCAGTTACTCATTCATAATGAACTCCCATGATCACTTTCAAGGAAACAGGGGGGTGTCTATTATTTATGGTCATTATCTTTTTCATTTCAAGACATTTGAATAATACCGCACGTCCTCTGATAAACATCTTCCCAACCTCAAAGACGGCCATGAAAGTGATGCTGCGAGGGGGATCTCATCACCCAGTCATGAATCGTACTTGCCTTGCTTGACCATGCCGTCAGCAGTTGCGCGCGGCGAAACAAAGAATCCTCCATAACGTTAACAAACAAAAAGTGTAATGGATTTGGAATTGAACACGAACCCGGTTTGTTTACCTCGGCTTTGGATATTCACACGTCATGATCACCATGCAAGTTCCAGTGGGTTCATTTTCATGCAAATCATCACCCTTGCGCACTAACTGGAATGTTCTCCCGATTATTGGAAAATTTCCACCTAACCTTCTTCCTTCCCTTCTTGTTTCGCTCTATTGCTTCTAACGATGGGAAAAGTAACGCTGATTGATGTCTCGTGCAGCCTATAGACTCATATGAACAAACACCAAAGGTAAGTTCGTACCGTTTATATGTAACTAGGTATGAACTACAATGCGGAGCAGACGTTTTTCGACGAACACATGTCTGTAGAAATCGACTTTTGTTTAAACACGGGTACGGGATGCCCTTGCACCTTTAACGGCCGCTAGAACTAGAGTTCAAGCCAGCTGAGCTCACTCAGTAGTTGTGTTTTGGCAGAGGGTTGCCGCATTGTGTCGGGAAAAATTTCACAACCAATTAAAATAGCGGCATTCGAGAGGGGGAAAAATAAGCTTTGCTCAGGTCGTAAAGCCAATCAGCGATTCAACAGCTTGTTGCATTGTAAGATGGGGCGCTTTCGTAATCAATAGTGAATTTTCTGGAAGTGGCACGTACCTCACATCTGCACATGGCATTGCAGGGTAACTGTATTTTCTTAATATCTTCATCACAACACGAGCATTTCTGAATTCAGCTAAATAAACCGAACCTTCTTTAGAAATCCCTCTAATCTGTTTGAGTGCATTAAGGAATTTTCTGGTACCACAAGTACTGCAGGCATAAAATGGACCTCAATTAGTGGTCCTTAGGAGGGACGGCCCTAGTGTAGTGGTAAACATCCATACTTCTCACGTCAAAGTCACGAGTTCAAATCTCATCCCTGTACAAGTCACGAATGACCCAAGAGTGTTAAGGGGACTATAATAGAGTTAAACGATATTGGAGGTTTCACTCACTCACGTTGGTGAAGATTGTGATGTGCATTGAACTGATTTCTATAATGTTTACGTTCGGTGAATTGTTGAACTAAGTGTGTGTTTTTCCAATGCACTACTATGACTAGTAAGTCATCTAAATTGTTTTTAGTAAGCCAGAACTAATTATTGGCATATTGACTGAACTCTAGTAGTATTGCAAGTTTTATCTACTATTTAAAGCATTCTATGTCCAAATCATGGGCAACAAGGCTGTGATAAAACCAAAATTGCTATTTGGAAATTGGTTCTTCCAAATGTGGAAATAATCCTCTAGATATTTATTTCCATGATGACCTCCAACTGCTCAAGATAGATTACAATGAGTAAAAACCGAATTGAGGGATGCTACAACCCAAGTAACAATTCAAGCTGAACAGTAAGAACAAAGGCTGATTATTGGTTGATTTAAGGTGTACAAACCTGATTAACATCAAACTGAATATATAGTTGATTAGTAGTGTATGAAGCTAATTGTATCCCCATAATTCAACCTCAATAAGTTAGCTGATCTAAAGATTGAATAAGCCTTAATTTAGCTTAACACTACTCCACAAATCAGCAATGCACTACAAATATTTTGATAGCTCGTTGCATTTCCGGCATTTTAGCTCTACTAAATTCACTGCCTACCTTTCTAATCCCAAGCAGTGGCTGAAGTAGATACAAGGTAGAGGAGCTTTTTAGGAATAGCTGCTGGTAGAAGTGGACTGTGACGACGTAGGAAGTATTAACATTTGTATTTCTTGCTATATTGCACTGAATTTTCAAACAGCATTCCAAATAAAAACTCAATTATCGCACTTAAATAGCTTCCACATGAACATCGAAATAAATCGGGCACTTGTGTCCACATTGTGTTCACTACACTTGAAAATGAGAGGAATATTTTACTGTCGTCAATTGTTGTTTACAATTCTGCATTGCTGTATAATACTCTTCCGGTTGCTGTAATTCAACTTAAATTTGACGTGTTTCAAGTTAATGATCATACCTTTTGCCACACATATGCTTGAGTGGTCCAGTAGGTATGATTGATGCCTGTGAATCAACGACTGCCGGTTCGAATCCCGAAATGCAAAGGTAATTTTTAGACTTATAATAACAATACAAATATGTACATCCATTAAATCAGCACCTTGCTGCAGTCCCATAAAAATATATAAGATATGAAGCGGTCTTCTATTATTTTTTTTCTAAATAGATACAGGCTGAACAAGGGTTGGAAAAGACTGTAATTAAATGCCTTAAAAAGCTTATAATTTATATGACTGTTAAGCTTTCGGCTGATTAAAATCACCAGATTTAGATGTTTAAAAGCTGAACAAAGGTTAACGTGGTCTATGTACAACAATTATTCAAATTAAGGCTGAATTAAAATCGATTGAACAACACTTGTTAAGCATCAAATTGTTACTTGGGAAACCATATTAATTGGTGATTGATCAAGCATATTGGGTAGGAAATATTGATGAAAATTAATATAACACTTCTATTAACAAATTGGCAAGTATGTGAACAGATTTAGTTTATTTAGTTTAAATGTGTGTTAAATTAAAAGCGGGCTAGGAAAAAAATAATGAACAAAAATGGTTTGCCGCAAGTACCTATTTTTATTTCAAATAAAATAGATTCAATTCATAGAGGGCCCGCAATAAAAAATAGACCAGTGCCCAAAGCGTGGTTAAGACGGCCCTGTTCGTAATATATCCGGTCCTGAAGAAACGTGCTGAACTTTTTGGCTCAGCTCTGGTACTCTCTTCGGTCCCAAGCTAATCGATTCACCCTCGAAACATAGGAAATCCCCGAACCCCTCGAAACATAGGAAATCCCTGAACGCCAAACTTTCATTGAGAATTAAAACAAACATAGTGTAGTACTAGAATTTCGACAAGAATGGGGTACGTTAATCGATTTGCTTGGGACCAATAGGCTAGTCAAGTAGTGAGCCAATGATTTTCCTCTAGAATGCAGGATCAACATTGTAATGAGAAGTAATAGGGCCTTCAGTTGGAATGCGTAATGCTCTCTGTAGAATGATAGTCATCTTTAATCGAAAGGCATTTGGTATTGGTTCAGCCCCTTAACGCAATTCATTCAAAACGATGATATAAATAATTCTATCGATCGTCATTTGCTACTTATGAGATGGATAATAACTAGGTAGGTCATGACATTTCAAGCACATTTCCTAACAGTTGGTGGAAGGTCATTTTGGATTCAAGCTGCTGCAAGCAGTCGATCATTTATTAGCTACGTTGTGGGTGATTTGCCTATAATTAATATCGGTGGTTGAGGACTACCTTACCCCGACCCAGCGGGCTCAGTGCCAGATCAGACAATTGAAGGAGCTGCTCTCGTAGGCTCGCATAGACCTAGAGCAGCGTGATACTGAAATTCTAAGAAATCCAAAGATGTTGTTGTGCTGCAGCTCGTTCAGTTCCCCGGAGGAACGTTCAAACTCCAGTGACGCAGTAATGGTGCGGGAGGACACCACCAACGATCCAAACACGCCCAGCTCTCAGGGCATTTCACCGATTGTGGATCAATGTATCCATGTTAATATCGGTGGATTTTCACACTACTGTCACTGTCTACTCTGTGCAGACAAACGAGGTGGAAGCATAGCCATCACTAAAAGTGATGTGATTATGTGATTTTCCTTGATTTGTTTTCCGCCGATCTTGTTTTTCGTACTGAGTACCAATGCTCCCGCCGTCAGTGAGACAGCTCCCACACCTGGACCCACACTATCGACCCATCA